CCCCCAGCCCGGTCGCGCAGAGCCAAGTCGCGGCCCAGCCGAGTTCGCTCCCCTCGCTCGGCAGAGCCGCAGCTGCCACGCGCGGTGGTGCCACGTTCCCCGCTGAGCCGGCGGCGCGAGATCTGACCCGAATTCAGCATGAGCTTCATTAATGTGAAAAATGCCAAGCCTGTGAATGTCTGGTGAACAGTTTCAGCAGATGGGCCCCATCCTTTTCCTTCTGACTAAAATAACAGCAATGTTTTCTTTTCAGTCTTATGGGGGATACGTGACCTCCATGGTGCTTGGCTCGGGAAGCGGAGTGTTCAAGTGCGGAATAGCAGTTGCCCCCGTGTCACGCTGGCAATACTATGGTACGTGATGGCTTCCTCCTCCCAGGGGGCCCCATATGTCTTGCAGTGCACATGCTGCAAAGTGTTGATTCAGAGTGGAGAACTTTGATTAGCTACTAGATACCACGTAAATGCTGTTTGGTCTGTTTTGATGAACTCGTAGATATTGTATTTCAGAACTCAACAAATTCCCTACATCTTATTTCTCATTTTAAAAAGTCAAAAGCACAATTACAGATAATCTTTTTAGCCTTTAATGAATGTGAAATTATTGTAATAGTTATACTATTATTATAATGCAAATATCTGTATTTGCCTTCCAAAGCTGCCAAGCGTCCTGAGGTGCTGTGACCATCAGGAAATGTCAGAAATTCATTGGTATTAGTCTTTGCTTCCTTAAAATGTTTCTTTGCTTATTTCTATTTTCTATTATTTCCATTTTCTTTTAGAGTCTAAAATTTGGATTTTATAAATTCTATCATAAGAATATCACAGTGTGATTAAAAACTAATTTCTGAACAATTGGGCAAGTCTGCACATGCTTCAACATTACTGTAGTGTATAAGGTAGTTCATGAGGCTACAAATACAGTTATAGGGGACCTCTTCCCAGGTGGAAAAAAAAGAAAACCCTATAACGTAGTTGTATAAGTTTAACTTTTTTGGTTTAGATTTCTCCTAAAGCAGTCAAAGAAAAGCACTTCCGGGAAATATTTTTCTAAATAAGGCATAATTTTTCATTCTGCATCTAGCACTTGAGGCTATGTAATCAAATCATGCTGCCAGGTATTAGTATGGGTGAGCTGAGGCTGTAGGGATGTTTTCATAATGTTTTGGTTGGGACTATTGCATTATGGCAGAGAATATCTCTAAAATTCTACTTTTAATTGGTTAGTTAAAGAAGAGTAATGCGGGCACACATACTCAACACTACAGCACAGTGTGTGACAGCACTGATAGATGGTCAAATGGGCATTATAACCAAATGACGGAGTATTTGTTTGTATGGATACTAAGAGGGCAGCAAATCTGCAGAAGCAATACTATATCACACTGAAATCTGTGGAAAATTTGAGATACTGAATTTTAATTGCAAAAAACAAAGCTCAGATGAGTCCTAATCCGTTCCTAACTCCACATGGTAAATTTTCTGGTAGTTTAAAAAACACCCATTATTTATTGCAAGATTTTCTGCAGTTTTCATGGAATTACTGACAGAATAACAATAAGGTGACATTGACACTAAGTACTTTATTAATATTCAGCATTCAGGTGTCCATGGCAACAGCAATGTTAAATATTCTGAATAATGATGATTACCTACAAGCCTCATTGTGAGAAAACTGTGGACCTTTTGGGGTGGTGGTGGTTGTTGTTGTTTTTTATACTTTGCACTATGGTAATGCATTCTTTTTTTTGTTTGTTTGTTTGTTTTTTTATACTTTGCATTATGGTAATGCATTCTTATTGTTTGTATCACAGTATAAAATTTCAGGTAGACAGAAATACTGAAAATTAAGTAGTGCATTCTGTTCATTTTATTACAGATTCAATCTACACGGAACGATACATGGGCCTTCCTATTGAGAGTGATAACCTGAAGAACTATAATGTAAGAAAGAAATCACTAAATTTCATTTAAATTTAATTATTAAAGTGTATGGTTTTGGGGTTTGTTTTGTTTGTTTGTTTTCCTGGATCACTCTCTTACTGATTCCTTCCCCATAGGAAGAAATTATTTTAATAACTTTGTTTCTTCATTCCTGTTACAATCACTGCACTGTGCTTTTAGGCACTTTACTCTCATGCTTTTGGAGTGAAGCAGTTACTTCTTGCTGTATGGTGTGGGTTTTTTTTTTTTTTGGTAGCATTTAGTTCTATTTGGCTACTTTGCAGACTGTAAAACAAGCTGTAAAAATGTTTTATTTTGTTTTATTTTATTCACTAAGAAACAAGTTTGTTTTAACATGTAATATGCTAGTGGGCAAAGTATGCTTTGTCTTAAACGGCATTTCTATCAAAAATGCACTCTAGTTCTTGCTGACCTTTATGAAGTGAACTTGATGAAGCTGCAAGCTTTATTCAGGGGAAGTAAAATCTCCAAAATATTAAGAAACCGTGAAGGGTAGACAAGCCTGTCTGTGGTCAGGTGGAAGAAGCTGCAGATGACCATAAAACCAACAGAATTAGGGCTGGAATTTTGACCTCACGTGGGATTTATGAACTTTGGCCTGAAATAACTAATGTTTGCCCAGCAAGAGAGGAAAGAGCTTTTTTTTTTTTTTTTTTTTTCCTGGGGGCACAATGTGTGCAATGTGTGGTGGGGTTTTTTTGCCAGAAGAGTTAGTAGTGTTGCTGTCCTGTGTACTGGCTCTCTTTTGTTGCCTAAGGGGCATCTCAAAGTTACAAATAGCTGGGAATGGGCTTTTTTTTTTTCTTCCTTTTTTTTTTTTTTTTTTCCTTCTCCTAAATTTCAGATCAAGATGGAAATACAGGGGCTACAGGAGAAAGTTAAGAAGCCTGAAGAAATCTTTGTGTTTGGTTATTGGTGTTTCACGGAGGAACGTGGGACGAAACTGTTCTTGTGTACCTTGGATGGGAGATAGGGACGTGCTGCCCCTCTCTTCTCCAGATGCAGGTCCTCACAAAGCAAGCGAATATCAGGATGTCACTGAGACCAAACAAGATGGGTCATTCTCTGTTTTATTATTTGGATTGGTGAATCGGTGATAAGGTCGCTTAGGCTGAATGGTACCTTGATGCACTAAAACATCACTGTTATGGGGAGCAAGAAAGAGGCGGGTGCTGTCGTATTGGCTAAAAGCATGTTTTTTTTGTTTTTGTTTTTTAAAAAAAAACATATATATGAGTATACATAGACGGAAAGGTCTGCTTTGACATATCACTAGAGTGACCTGGTTTCGTCAGCTGCTGTGTCAGAAGTCCAGGTCAAAATTCAGCGGGTGGCCGTGACTGCAGGAGCCTTGGTCGCAGGGGGCCTGTCCGGCGCCAGCCCCCCCTTCCCTCCAGCCCGTTCCTGTAGCGCACGGGAGCCGCAGGGGGTCTGCGCCGTAGCAGAGTAAATAGAAGTCACTGCCGCCCGTGCAGAACGAATGTTAACGCTCTGGGTGCACAAAGTCACTCACCAGCTTCGCGGCGCAGATGGCAACAGAGGACTGTTTAATCCTTTCAAGCCAGGAGTCGGATTTTCTTGGCATCGTATCTATTGCTGGCAATGGCCACGTTGAAACTGCCAGTACCAAAGAGCTAAAGGTTTCGAATGTGTTACTCAGAGGACTAATTGGGGAGAATGCTGGCTAGATGAAGGAGGGGTAATGGTACAGATCAGATTGTCAAACTTCCCTGCTTTTTCTGGATGTTGGAAAGTATTCCTTAAGTCCTCATTTGTTCCTACATGCTCTAAGGGATGTATTATTTGGAGTTTGCTTTTTCACAGACACCTCGTGACACCTAGGAAGTGGCTCTGCTGTTTTTCATGTGGAGGTAGAAGAAAAGCTGGTAGGATTTTGTGGTTGCTGAAGCCCCTTGCTGACCCCAGTCCAGCCTTTCCTGGTTCCCATCCCTTTTCTTGTGGTTATAGTCACACTTCCCACAAGGCCCTTATGGGAAATGAGGGCTACTTTCTGAACTGAGCCCTGTTGGTATTTTGCAAGCTAATGCAAAACATGTATTGAAAGGCTCTCCTAGTTGAAGCTGTTAAAGCACTTTTGAACTGTTAACTTTGTGCTGTTGGGTTTGCAGGCTGCACTGTGTGTTTTCCTGTCTTAGTGTAGCTGGCATAAAGTTGTCTTGAAAGCATGAAGGTTGCATGATCTCTGCAATGTGTGCACTAATTTAAAAGAAATGGGTCTTGGAGCAGACGTAAGCTGCTTAGGTGCCGTGCTAATGCACAGATCATTATTAATAATTGTCAATACATACCATGACGAAACCAGCTGTGGTACAGGGGGTATGCTTTTGTGTGCAGTATCATGACATTAGGTTTCACATTTACCAGTGGAGCAGAAACTCAAACCTCTAAGCAGCTAATTAGGTGTGACCAGTGCCTCTTAAGGTAGCTGTGAGTAATAAAAATTAGAGCTGTGTGAAAGGAAGAGGAAAACGTGCTCCCAGTGGAACTGTGCAAACATCGATAGAGATCCGAGGCTGAAGGGCAGAGAAAATGTCTGCCCAGAAAGCCTGTCCCTAATGTACAGGATCTGAGACTAAAGCAGGCCGCAGCTCTAGAGGTCAGATGCAGCAGCCACACACAGCATACTAAAGAGACTGTTCAACTTGCGAGAAGATTATTTTGCAGTTCACTCTGAATTTGATATGCTTTTGGCAAGTGTTTGAAACAGTCATTGATTTGGCAATCTTTTGCTAGCAGATTTGAAATGTTCAGTCCTTAAGAACTGCTGCATCATTAGGTTATGCAAAACAGGGTACAATTTTGTAAATATGCCATCTTGTACTGATTTGACATTTGTTCTATTATCTGAGAATATGCTAAAGGGAGAGAGACCTTCAGTTTCAGCCAAACCTTAACTTGTTTGTTGAGTGCTGATAAAATGTTGACTGCTGTGTGATCTTTAGAAAAGCCAGTTACACTCAGCAGAGCCTAATTCCTAGCACTTACACGTGGTACCTTTTTCAGAACTGGTGTCACTGCGGTCTAACTGCAGGAAGGAAGGAATAAATTAAGTTAAATTCTGCTGTCCACTTGGTTTCAGCTGGTTTAGCCATTGCTTTGAGGTTTAACCGTGTCTAACTTGTGATTGCTCCCTGTTTTGCAACCTTTTTGATCAAAATGTTGTATCATCCTTAAGAGGATTTAGGGAAGGGGCTTCTTGTGTTTAAATACATGTAGAGCACAGTCCAGAATGGCCATCAGAAACCATTTCATGTGATGAAGCACTGAAAAGGAATTGTTTTCCAGGATTTCTTTTGTATCTTTTCTGAAGTATTTTACACAAATTTTCATCTAATGCTTGGAAGGGAAACAGTGACATTGCTTTTTTAAAAATGGTTTTGGAAAGTCAGATTTGCAGAAGTGTAACTGATTAGTCAGGTCAGGCTTCCGCTCAAAGTTTGCGCTCCCTTCAACCACATTTATTTGCTGGAAGAAAGTTTAAAAAGGAGATCTACCAAGTTCCAATCTGGGTATGTACAAAATGTTTCACTCAAAATCTGGTATTTCACTATCGAGGTATAGTTTTGGTTTGTTTTTTAAGTCACTGGCCCGTGACATGCAGGTTCATTCTGGAGGGTGGCTGCTGCACCAGAGCTCGTCGCTGAATCAAAGTCCCCTCTGCAGTTTTTGGCACCCTATTAATAGCTCCGCTCTTATGCTGTGATACTTCAATGGCCACAATGTCACGCTTCCACTGTGCACTGATCTCCACGTATTACGTGGGATTTCCATTGGTCGACAGCCTTTCTTATCAATGGAGAGAAATTACTGTTTTACAGATTGGATTTTTTTCTTTTCCCCCTCCACTGCTGAACTTTTTTTAAAATGTTGTTTGAATCATCAAAAAGCACGAATTTCACTTATGACAATGTTGCAATACATTAGTTTCCATGACAAAAGAGTTTTAATATATATGTGCTTTAAAGATACTTTGGATGAGTATGCAGTTACTCAAGGAAATCAGAACACTTCTGTGGTATGGTTTTTGGGACCAAGGAGAGAAGATAAAGATGCATGTGCAAGGATACAGCCTTAGTAGCAAGGGGAGAAGAAAACATTCCTCATTTTTCTTTTTTTTTTTCTTTTTCCTCCTTTCCGTGTTGTCTTTTATTTGCTATAATGGTCAGCAAACATCTACAAGAATGCAGGAATCTTCAGCAGAAACCTCATACTTCTGCTATTAGAAATTTCCATGCACCATCCCTTTTCCCCCTTATGCTGAGTTTCTCACCAAGCCCACACGGTCGTGCGTGTCCCTGCCCTTCCACCCTCATGTCAGAGCATGACCATATGCCCTTTCCTTGCCCAAATGCAGGGTGGTCTTTACAACTCTTTATTTTCCTCATTTTTTAGTACCTGGTCATTGTATTAGGTGAGGGGATTACTGTGTTACAGTGAGTATGCTAATACAGTGCTTTAAATTTTTTTAACCTTAGTTGCTGGGCGTGTTTTTTTTTTTTCAGCATAATGTTGTTTCAGTCCCAGTGTGCCATTTGGCTTCTATTTATAGGTTTGGATTAGTGTTGTGTGTGTTGTTTTTTTTTTTTCTCCTCCCAGGCATTTCAGCATCATATTTGAGGGACAGCATTGCCTTAAACCCCTTCTCAGCCCTTTTTACTTGAGAATGATGAATCACAAGTTCCATTATTTATGTATAGGTAGATTGTAGTGTATATGTAGGTGGGGAAAATAATGCATGTAGCCTCTGTAATATCAGCTCTCTGCTATCATAGGAGGCACAGTTGCCATAGCAACTTTTTTTTTTTTTTTTTAAAAAAAAAAAAAGTGTCTGCTGGGTAGCAGAGGAAACCTACGGCAAGTTTTGTGCTGCAGGCTAACAACATGTTAGCAATGCATTAAATGTGTAGCTCGCTCACTAAACTCTTCCCCTCTGGAACTACTAGTTATTTTGCAGACACAGCCCTTGGTAGTCGCTCCAGCCCAGTGCAGAACAGTCTGAGTGCCAGCACAATGCTGCTGGATATGTGAACATGCTAGTTTGTGGCAGGGGGAAAGAGGTCGTTGCCTTTCATCCAAAGGATCCCCAACTGTGTCAAGAGGAATGAAAGTCACTTGGTAGCAAATTGTCTTCTAACAAATAGCACTTTATTTATTTTTTTTTTTTAAACTTTAATTTCAGAGTTCAACTGTAATGGCCAGAGCTGAAAATTTCAAGCAAGTTGACTATCTCCTTATTCATGGAACAGCAGATGGTGAGTTGCAGTTAATTAGACATTTTAGTATTACAGACAGGTTCGCAATTCTACTACTGACAAAACAAAAGCATGAAGGGGCAAGGCTGTTAAAGCTACGTCAATAAAAATAATACTGCTTGCTACAACTAATTTGTGGCTTCAATCAGCAGTGCTGAGGAGTCTTGTGTGATCATTGCTTTGCTTTTTTTCCCCCAGAGTAGTACAGAACCAATTTTTGTTTACCTCTCTTCTATTTTTTTCAGATAATGTTCACTTTCAGCAAGCAGCACAGATTTCCAAAGCTCTTGTTGATGCTGAGGTGGATTTTCAGGCAATGGTACAGTTCTTTTTTTGTTTGTTTTTGTTGATCCAAAGTTCACGTTTGCATTTCATGATCAGTAACTGAAACTTTTAACATAACTCTGCATTTACCTTCTGTACAAGAAAAAAATTATACATCTTTTTCTTGTATTTGACCCACTTCACCTCATCTTTTATTTTGTTATTTTTTTCTGTGTTGTCAAACAGCCAAGCTTCACATATGCATTCACACTACAATAAGGTTTAAGAAGACTGCTTAGCCTCAGCTAAGCCTAGTATTTATCCCAAGAGAAGTGGTCTGTGAATGCTGGTGTTTCTTTACTGGAACATGTAAGAGCAAGGAGGCATTAGTTGCCTCTTCTAGCCTTGTGCATGGAAGACGTCAGCCTCAGGTGCTGCTTCTCGTCCAGCTCTTGGGAGCAGAGCTGCACAGGAGGCTGCCCCTGTGCCCGTGCTGCGGGGAGCTGCTCCAGGAGGGGTGTCGAGCTCTGCTAGTGCTCAGCTCCCCTCGGGCTGAGCTCAGGCTGGGCAGCTGTGCCAGCCTGCGTGGGGACACGCCACGTGCACACCTCACGCTTTGCAGGGTTACTGCATGTATAGATGGCTGACCTTGTGTACGCAAAGCAATGACAGGAGTAACACAGCAGCACTCTACCATCAGCCTATCCTTATGTTCATGCTGAGCTAGCCTTGCTCTGAGCTGATTTTTAAATGTCTGCATGTATCTTTGTCATGTCTCATTAGGGATTTGGCTGTGGCAAGGGCTAACATTCTCTGTATTTTTCTCTCCCACAGTGGTACACGGACAAGGACCATTCCATTACCGGTCAAGCACATAAGCATATTTATACCCATATGAGCCATTTCATAAAGCAGTGTTTTTCATTGCTTTAGCACAGGACCAGCACCAGCATTTGGGCTGTTGGTGATGGTTCTTCTCCAGAAAACTCTTTAGCTCAGTGTGTGCCGAGCCAGTATAAACTATGAATGAAGATGGGGGTAGAGGTGAACTCACTCCTGGATACCTGTGTGCTCTGTGAAATGCTAATCTTTAGGATGATTTCTGTTGCCAGGCAACTATTGCATTTTTATCAATTGTGTTTAATCAGGTCACTAATGCCATCAATGTGTGTATATGTTGTGAAACTTGAAAAGCATAACACTTGCTTCGCATTAGTGTTTTTTAGGTCTAAAAGGGAAACAGTCCAGTTGCTAGTTTGGTGTAACAAATATTGAAAATAACTCCACAGAGCAACTGAACTGATCAGTTAGTTTAAGAATACTACTGATAATTAGTTACATTTCTATGGAGAGATATTTCTTTCCACTGGAATTTAAAATTAAAAGAAAGTGATTATTTCTATGAAAATATTGATGAACCCTTAATTAGATTTTTTTCAGAAACTACCTAATTTTGATCAGTGACTTTTAGATATAGTCTTAGGAATCCTGCAAAGTTGTTATTTTCTATACAATATGTAACACCTATCTTAGTGCCTTAATTTTTCTCTGTAGTCTCTTCGATGACAACTGTTTTGAGTCCTGTAAAGAAAGCATGGAACTAACACTCAGCAAAGACTCTGAATAATACTCATTGTACTGCATTTTGCTTCCTAACCTAATACTGTGATGTGAGTTTATTTTATGATAAAAGACTGGTACTATATGGATATGCACTGGTGAACTCTTACCTAGGGACTCTAGGAACCCATTATTGTTCCTCTGTGGGTCAGAAATTCTATCTTTTTTTTAGTTTTCTATTTACTAGTGAGCAGAATATATTGAGACTCAAATACAAAACATTCAAATGCAATTCAGAAGTTAAAGCAAGGACTGGACTAGAACTCTCATATGAATGTGCTATTTAGAAAACCTGCTTTTTCCTTGCAGCCTACCACTAAAATTCTGTTTTAGTCTCAAAACTCCAAGTAGGCTTTTCCATCTGAAGATAAGATTTATATTTTCTTAAATTTCACAAACGGAGAAAAGATGTAAACCAACTTCTACAACAAGCTGTGCTGCCTTAAAATAAGGAGGTCATTAAGTTATAAAAGGATGTGTATTCTGTATAATTGGATACCCTGCTCCAGAAATTAGCTCCTATATTTTAACACAAATAAATACGTTAATTTTGGTAACAATTTAGAGTGAATTTTCTGCTTTTCTTAAAGGTATTTGGTTTGTGTTACGTGACATAAGTGTGACATGATTATCTAATGCTTAGCCTCTTGATATTAGATACCAGCATGTGATTACATAGGTATTACTCAGTTTTATTAGAGGTGCGACTATAAATGTACAGCCCAATACATCATAGAGAAGAAGAGGAAAACATATCCAGGAAGTTTGTGGAGCATGTCCTTAAATAATAATAAAAAAAAAAAAAGTGTGAAGATACATGAGGAGAATGGGGGATGTTGAGGAAGAAGAAATACTATATTATGCTGCTGGTAGAACATGAAGCCATTTTTTTTTTTCAAGGCTGTTTAGCTTGTTATCTCTGATAGATCTCCCCTAGCTCCAAGTAATAATGTAGATAATGAATATGAGAATACGGCTGTCTTGGGAATCAACAGCCCTGAGTTAGGAGCTTCAGCTTCCTTTAAAGTGCATTGTGACTGCTAAATTCTAAGTTGAGGCCACAAAAGGAAGCCAGCTAATTTCATTAATGTACAAAGCCGACACTAGGAAGCAAGCTTTGTGCTACAGTTAGGCTCTTAATGCTTGCTTTTTTGTTGTGTTTTTTCATGTGAAATGGATAAACAAAAATTGCTTATACAGTACACTGTGTAAAACACTAATAGAGCTAAAGCCAGACGTGTGACAATTGAAGTTGTGAGGTGGATGAAGATCTAGATTCTTTGGTTCAAAGCTTGATGAGGAATCTGTGGGTTTTAATATGAGGGAGTACTATCTAGTTAATATGATGGAGTTTAGGTATGAGGCTTAGTACGAGGCTTTAGGAAAACAGTAGAAACTCCCCTGGTTAGCCAGTAGCTGAGCCAATGTTCAATTAATTACTGAATGCTTTAAATATTGTAGCACTTAGTTATAAAAATTCTATAAAAACTTACTTACCTATTGATCTTTAAAATACTTGACTATGTCTGCCTGGTCCACATCTTCTTTCCAAAGAGCAAGAAGAGGAACCAACTCACGACCAGTGACTCAGAACCTGTCTCTTTCTAGAACAGGTCAGTTATATGCTATCCCCAACTGCATATTTAATGTTAGAGTTGAAATATGTGCCCTGTGAACAGCTACACACTACTTGCCCATACAGATGGAGCATGGCATGTTTTAGTGCGATTCCACTCACAAACTCAGCAGCTTGCAAGATTGAGCTTAAATAGTTAAGTATTTTGAAGTGACAGTAGATATTTAAAAGTGTGCCACACTTCGTACGTGCTCTGGGTCTTGCAATATAAAAATAGAAATTGAAAATTAGTTAGGATAAATATTTATTTTCACATAACATTTCTTAATTGTGAAAAACACAAGTCTATTCACAAGTACACATACACTTTTGTAATAAATTACATCCAAGAAATTGAGTAATTTTGACCAGGAATATGAAATTGGAAGCAAATATAATAATAGATTTGCTGTATATTGTGTGTGATTTCATAATGTTAAGATTAACATTATAACAGCATTAAAATTCACACAAGAACAGAGTGACTGTAAAAAAAAAAAAAAAAAAAAAAAAAAACTGAAATACTTAACAGAAATGCCATTGAATACACTGATTCCTTAACACTCTATAAGTTGGTCAAGTAGAACTAATACACTTTGATTGCATACATTATCTGTAACAAAGTCAGCAACATATTAAAATACCATCAGGCTGCTTTCAGGACAAACCAGTATTGAACTTCTATACTAGCCTTAAAACAATTGGAATCTTACAGTTTATCAAATGCACAAAACAAAGCATTTAAACTTAATTCATTAGCATTTTTCCTAAATTTATAAATAGAAACATTTGATTTTATGTAAATCCTTTGTTGCGTCCATTAGACTTCCCTCCCCCCATTAAAAATGGCCTTTGATGGGTTGGATAATACTAAGTAGAATTTAGAACAGTGACCCAATTAGTTTGAAACAAAATGCAGTTATTTTTTATGGCTAAAGTAGTATAACATATACACACAAAAACATTGGAAGGAGTATTTTAAATGTTCTGAATATGAAAAAGTTATTCACAGGAGGTCAACGTAAAGTTTACGTTTTTGAAAGCTAGGGAATGTTAACGCTCTGTAAATGAGCTTATAGAGATCACAAGACTGCAGGTTCTCATTCCTAGAATTCAGAGCAAAAACATAATGATGAGTTAGCCTTCACTTAATCATTTAAAAATTTGTCAGAAAAAAAGATCAAAAAATGGTGAATTTCAAAAAATCCATAAAACTTTTGCTTCCCATATCTATTAACTGAGAACCTCATCTGACAGTCAAAAAAAAAAAAATAGCTCAAAGGATTATGCCATAATAAAATCTGTTAGGAAACGCTTTTTTTGTAATGACTTTAAAGCCATATCTTTGCAATGTTGTTTTTAATCATTTAAACAATATGTACTTGATGGAATATTGAAAAAAGCTGAAAAGTAACAACAGGCTGTCTGTTTAAGTATTATACACAATAAAGACAGCTAGTTTGCAGTTGTTAGTGGAGTAAGAGAGAAAAAGGACAATATAAATACACCATTTATGTTGTGGTCTTCTAGGCAAGAGAGAGGAAAATCATTGGGCGGGTAATATAACTGCATGTAGCATATTGTTTCTATTTACAAAATTCCTACTATAAAATATTGGATTCATTAATGACATAATGCAGTAGTTTGGCCTACTATGGAAACATTCATCCAATACAAGGTAAGATACTATTATCACAGATTGCATTTTAGCAAATACTGTACCAAGGTTTCACATCAAAGGATGTGGTGGTATTTTTCAAATAATGTGAGAGAATGTGTTTTAATATATATATATATATATTTTATATATATAGACTATGTTCCAGTTACATAAAAATTTGAATATTAAATATACTGTATTAAATCAAGAAAAACTGCACAAATAGAGAAAGAATCTGACCCTGTGATCGCAATCCATAACTTCAAATGGACAGCTTGAGAAGGAAAGGGTTACCCTCATTAGTGTTTATAGGGTCAGATCAGTTGTCACTTTAAAAATATTTTTAACGTTTACTTGTTAATTTATGTCTTTTAAAAACATTTACTTAAGTAAGTTACATGATTTGAAAGAAAAACGAATCAAGTATTTCAAGTGCATATTGAATGAAGATTATTAAGGATTCTCACACAGAAAAAAGTGGCAAAATACAATAAAACCTATTAACAAGTAAGTTGAATTTGAAAGAAATTATGTAATGAATAGCTAACACCACCAAGGAAAATATTTTTTTGCATTGACTACTGTAGACTTCTGTACAGATACTAGACAATGTAGACATTTAGACAAAATGAAATGAAACAAATATTGCACTACATTACCTGTGCTAGTTTGGGCTGACAGACAAAAGATTATAACATCAAATCAGTCATATTTAATGATTGTGGCACTCCTTTCATTCATTTGTAAAATAAAAAAATTAATTGAAGAATGAGTCATAGACAAGTCTCCCGGTCAACACCTTTCCCTGAGTCAGCTTTCTTCTCTCTTTTGATTTCAATACTAGGAAAAGAAGGAAAAATAAAATTAGAGAAGTACTATGAGATATATTAATGATTTACCTGAAAACCAACACTGCAATGATATTTTAATTAGTTTTTCATGCTACATAGCACAAACTGGGAAGCAAGTGAAAGTTGCTGTATTGATTGGTGCAGAAGACATCAGCCAGCATTTTAGTGACGAGGAAGGTAGAAAACTTGAGATGTGCAGGCAGACAGCATGCAAGCAGATACCCATGTTTATTTGAAA